CTTTCTCCTCAGCTCTTTAAAATTGTTTGATTTGGACTCATTTAGGGAACTTCAAATCAACATTTTTTATTGTGTTGAGAAAGAGAATTTCTTCTGGTAATGATGACTGAAAGATTACTTTCTGTCAGCCAAATAAATTTGAAATAAAGTTGAGTGAGTGATTTTTTTATTAGTCTGTGAAAAGGCTATTTATTTCCACATGTACTTAGAAAACAAGTAATTCTAACTTAATGAAATAAAACCAACTTTGAAAACAAATAGGACTCTTCTGCAGTTCCAGCTAAATTAGATACTGAAAAATACTTCCATTTTGATGTGTTTTGAAATATCTACTGAAATTACAGATATAATATTTCAAAGAACTAAGATAAAAGCTTTGATCAGAGGAGGAAATGTATGTATATAGATGGCATCTCAAGAAGCTCAAACTCTCTTTGCCATTTTAAGCTTTCTTTTATTTATAAGTCAATGATGTTAAATAATGCAAGAAAATTGAGTTTCCACCTAATATCATGGAAATGTTAAATTTCATGTGAATTGAGGGTGAGTACTTTACAATTTGCGCAGTAGGTCAAATTGATGTTGTGATTCATGAGAGTTAAATGTTTTATTTGTTAGATGTAGAAAACCAAGATGGTCTCTGGCTGAAGTTTAAAATAAGTTATAAATAAGGTTTGATGTTAACAGCAAAGATTTATACTAACCATAAACACAAAACAACTCACATTAATACATTAGAGTCATGAACTACATTACATCAAACTTAAATTGTCCTTTAAAACAAAGAATAGGCAGTTAAAATCAGTTCAACTAAAACAAAATCTATTTCAAATACACACATACATACATACTCTTGAATAGAAATAAAATAAGAAAATATTATTACTGTCACATAGAATCATTGCCTTAGAAGTTGAAGATAATGGTTTTCTTATGCTTTCTTTTGTAAGTTAATAGAAGTCCATAAAGGAGATAATAATGACAAAGAGCAACTGTCCTGGGATTAGAAGGAAATGGATTTCTCTAGCTCTTCATTCAGACAACACATTTGAAACCCTGGAGAATGAGGCATTTGGGGATTGTGCGCTGAGTCAAGTAGAAACTAAAAAACAAAAAAACAAAAAATCCCAGTTTTTTATAAAAGTCACTTTCTCTTACTCAACAGCCTTGATTGAGGACATAAACCTGTTAACAGTCTACTGTTTGGGGGACAATCTGTGGTTTACTCTTCCTGATTTTTTTTCTGTCATCTCTTAAAAATTTACTACATTAGTTTCAATTCTGAAAGTAGAGCCGGAAACAAAGACTTGATTGTCAGTAATTTTGAGGAGCTTCTGATTTTAAGAGACAGAGCACAGAACAGGGCAAGTGAAAATGGTAAGGTAATAAAGTTTATTCCAGAATGCATTATCAAGTTGGACACCAATCAGGTGGCGGGCACTGAAGCTTTATGAGATGAGTCAGAGCTATTTGCCTAGGGGATGAAAGACAAAAGTAGTTTACTATCAGTTCCCACCCCCATTTGAACAAGGTTGACTCCTTAGATATTAACTTGCCAGAACTTCCGAATGCTTTGCAGGGTCCCAAGAATGTCATACACAGTGTGTCAGAGAATTCTCAGGACAGTCAGAGGTTGGTTCATGACCCAAACAGGTACTGTTGGATTGCATTTGCCAGAGCTGGTAGAAGCTTGGCTGAAGATGGTCACCTCACTGCAGCAGAGGTAGAGAGCCCAGTGGGGCCCAGAACATGGGAAAGTGGGCACCACAGTTGTCTGGGACACCCTTCTCCTTCCTTATGCAGTCTGGATTCTTTTAAGCCACCCATTTAAGGTTTCCAAACATCTCATTCTTATTGCCATTTTCCACATCCCTACGTGATTTTATCTCTCATGTATGACCCTTATTTTTCTGACACCAGATAAAACAAAATAGAGATATGTTTAACCTTAAAGACTTAAAACAATTTAAATAGCAGCTTTAAAGAGAGCCCACACAGCAAAAGTTTGAATCCCTCTACCTTATTCAAGGGCTCCCATCAGCTCAAGAAGTGCCATTCTTGGTTTTCCCTCATTTACCCCAGTCCTAAAATTAGGCAAGTGACATGAAACACCATCCTGAGATCCTATCCAATGACACCTAACAGAACAATTTTTCTAATAGTTAAGAATGTTTTGGTTGACTATCATTTGACAGTTCTGAAAGTAGAAAATATTTCCTCAAATCCTCAGCATGAGCTAACCAGAATGAAAGCTTTCCTTTAACATTTCTCTTTGGCACTGCCATTTGCCACCATATGCAATTTATATGTATTTTATTCCTGCCCAAAATGCTTGTCTGTGATTGTTTATGAGTCTGAATACAATTTTAGGTGATTATTTTGTTTCTGTATTTGGAAAATAACACTACCTCACTGAGACATGTTAAGCTTATTAACCATGTAACCACCATAATCTTTTGCCCCCTTTCTTAAAGAAGTACACTTTAGCCAAAAGGCTGAGAAGCAATTTTTGGCCCCCATTCTTAAAGATCGGGTGTGAACAGTGTGGGTTTCTGCCCCGCAGCACCAGTGGATAGAGATGCTGCCAAAAGTCAAGACAAAAAAGGAAGCTTGTTATCGAAAAGTAAAGGGGACAATCGTTGAAAGTTTATGGTTGGGAACGGACAACTAGCTAAGGAGCATGTTCCAATCCTTAAAGTTTAAGTTAAACCAAGCATTCAGTTTCTAGAACTCATTGGTAAATGTGCCCGATCTGAGCAGTGTCAACTACTTTGCTTTTATCTAACATACTGCTGTCACGTCACTGTTGTGCCAGGTGATGTGGTTGTTATCCCCAGAGGCACTCCTCTTTTCTGTTTACAAAAACTGATTTAGAGGTAGAAAAGCTAATGAGTAAAGCATAATTCCAGACTCCAATGTCAAGTCCTGGTAGATCTTCAACAGATTTCAAATTTCTTATTTGGTCAGTACCATTTGTACAAAAGGATTATCACTATTAAGGATGAAATAAATATATAGAGATACAATTCTCATTCTTGAAGAGATAACTGTATACATGCAAAACATGAGAAAGCTATGTACAAACATTTATGTAATATGCATTTAGGTATGAAATCTCCCCAGTATCACAGAAATGTTAAAAATGTTATTAATGGAAAAATGTTAAAGGACTAGAGTAAAAATAGATGGCTTTATGAATTTGGGAGAAGAAACAGAAAGTGGGCGGTTTGAATTTGGACCAGTAGAGAGGGGCAGGAAATGCATTTGTTGTAAACAGTAATACACCAACAGTTCCACAAGGCACACAGCATTCGGTTCAGGCACAATGGCATTATTTCTACTTCCTTTAGTCCCTAGCCTCTTCTCCATAGCCATGAGAACTGGCTCCCATTTGTCTTCCATGTATCCCTTTAGATATCTCTCTCTGATAAAATTTATGCAGACACTTGTTACTTTCTTGTACTGTATTTTATTTTCTTCAAAAAATTTTCCTCAACTGATGTTGTCTTGTTTACTTGTCTTTATTTATTATCTGTCATCCTCCACTAACAAGTTTGCTGCATGAGAGAACTTCTGTATCTTCTTTACCAGCTCTATTAAGAGCAACTCGAATAGTTGATAACGAATAGTTGATCAACATGAAGTTGATTACAAATTATATTAAATGAGTTGATGAATCTACCACAAATAACACCAGGACCTTTCCTCTTCCCTGGTGGGCAGTGGGAGTTACGCATGTCTTTATCTCAGAGACTTTGTGTTCACTCATGGTTTCCTTGACCATGATCTCACCTAATTTAAAATTGATTCGATAAAAACAAAAAAATATGAATAAAATTTTCTTACATCGGTCTTGTAAAGGTGCGAATTTGGCAAAATGGAACACCTAGTCTTTTATATTTACAGTATGATAATTTAACATTTATTATGAACATTTAAAAGAATGTTACAGATTTTCTTTCATCTTCTCTAATACTATTTTATAAGATTCATTATTTTTAAAGCATTGTTAAGAGTTTTAAGTTTTTAAATAAATGTGATTGCCACATTGCTGTCATTAAAATTTCTTTTAAGAATCTATTTGCAGAGCGAAGTAGCTAATAATATGTTTTGCATTGATTGTTGTTTAGTTTTTCTAAAGAGGGATATGAAATTTTATTCTGTGAATCAAGACTAATTAGAAACTAAAGCAGTGTTTATTAGGACTTCTAAAAGGAGGTATTTTCCTCACTGATTGAGACAGGAAACATGGAATCCTATGGCCCAATAATCCTCTCATTTGCTTTTGAAGTCACAGACCCCTACTTGCCATCTCTCCTTAAAGATGCATAAGCAAGTGTTAGAGATTGAAGTAAAAAAGATGTGATTGGATAAATGCAAACTTTTTGCCACTCCATGAAACAACTCTAATTAATGTCTTAACAATTACAGCTTTGTATTTAAAGATAAGCACATTTTTTTAAAAGATGTTAAAGAAACTTAGACTACTGCTAAAGAAAAGATAGCTGAGAGTTTTTTGATAACTGTTTTTAAGAACATAAAAAGCTCTATTAAAAAGTTGACTAGATGTTTTCCAGTTACGTGGAGACAGAACCAATTTAAATGGTAGCAACTGTCAGGAAAAAAGATGTAAATCATAACTAAAAAAAATCTTCACTGGAGAAGGCTACTGCAATAGAAGTTATCTTTTGCTAGTTAAATATAGAATTACTTGGACACAGAAGTTAAACAGTATAGCTTTGATCAGAATGTTTCCCCTAGCAAGCAATAGATGTAGGCACAAGGGTCCCCAATAAAAGAGGTTGACCACTACCACAATAACAAGACATACATGCACATTATAATCTTATTTTCACCTTTCATCATAATGCTTTTATTTGGAACCCAGAAAAAAGTAATAATAAGGTGAACACAAACACAGAAAGTGTGACTAAGTTAGAGAGGTTTAAGGAGATGGAAATAAAAAAGAAGAATTTAAAAAAGTAATCTATGATTCATAGGAAACCAAAGAACTTCTCTCTGGCCCACATCTGAAGTCCTCCACAAATTATCTAGGAAACATCCCAAACAACAGCTCCTTGAAATTAAAGGTAAGCCATTTCATATACATGCTTTATCTTTTTTCTTTTCTTTTCTTTTTTAGTTTTTTTAAGATAAGGGTCAAAAATGTGCATCTACTCCAAAGGCATAGTTGATCCCAAAATATATCATGCTCTTATACTAAACCTTTGTGTGCTCTAATTGTGTTGCCATGGCAATCATGCCTTTGCCTCAACAATTAGGAGCTAGCTAGATTGCAGGACTTCTTTCTTGAAATGGAAATGAAAAAAAATGTCTCAATAAGGAATCAAGATTCTTTCAGGGACTCTTTAATGCTAAAGGAATGTCCTTCTGACTCCCACTTCCTTGAGGCTATAGTTTAGGAGATAAATCTTGGAGCTCATCAAAGACAAAGTATGCCTCTGGGAGGCCAGGCCCTATCACCTTCCTAGCTAGGAGCTCAGCCCTGCCTTCATTGCTTAAGGCATGGTACCATATTTTTATATCCTCTCTGCCCTACTCCCACCTTCTATCTCATCTAAGTACAACCCTAATACTACATTGCATGCTAAGAAATATATATGAGAAATATGGTTATTTCAACAGAAGCAGAGAAGAATTATTAGTCATCAAGTATTATAACTACTATGTAGCTAGTAGTGACAATTACCTATGCAGAGATATCATGGGCATCTAATTTGGTGTAGATTTAACTAGCAGTAAAAAGACAATGTAGAATTTGTTGCTTAAATGTACTCTGGTTTTCCACATGAGCCATCAAATATCAATAAAAATATATAAATAAGTAGATGCACATTACATTTTAAAATAAGTTCAACCTGATGTTTTAAAGCAGGGGTCACAAATTTTTTATGTAAAGGCCCAGGTAGTAAATATCTTAGCCTCTGTGGGCCATACAGTCTCTGTCACAGCTTCTAATTCTCTCGCTGTAGCACAAAATCGACCACAGACAATGCATAAAGGGTGTGGCCGTTGTCCAGTAAACAAGCAAGGGCTAGATTTGACCACCAGGCATACAGTTTGCTAGCTCTCAACTGAAACTGACCCTTTGGTCATTTTATATTTTGTATTCTCTTAAAAATTCTCTCCTTTCACCTTCTTTGTCAAAACCTCAGATAAAGCCCAAGAGAAGGACAATACACATCCTCCCGTCAAACATCTTCCCAACTCAGGGTCAAGCTTCTTGTCTACCTGCTTCTGCCTCTCCCTACTGCTTTAAGTTTAAGGCCAGAATAACTATGATCTGTGACTTTCCAGTAATGGCACTCAATGGAGCTGCCTGGCTGCTGTGTGTTCCCCTCAGTTCCTTTGGTGCTATGACCTTTAAAGGGTCTGGCTGAGGGCAAGCTCAGTCCCATCCCAGACAGTCAAACCGACAGGGCTGCATCATGGCCTTCCTCACAGGCAAGCTTCCCACTCATACCATATGTAAACCAAGAGCAGCTCAGGGAAGCTAATTCTCAAAGATTTCAGATGTCTAGCCCTGGCTGGTGTGTAGCTCAGTGGTTGAGTGCTGGCCTTAGAACCAAAGGGCCACCAGTTCAATTGCTAGTCAGGGCACATGCCTGGTTGTGGGCCCGATCCCCAGTAGTGGGTACAGAGAAGCAACCACACAATGATGTTTCTCTCCCTCTCTTTCTCCCTCCCTTTCCCTCTCTCTAAAAATAAATAAGTAAAATCTTTTTTAAACAAGACTTCAGGTGTGTGACTGCACTCACCAAGCTGCCTTGGATGGCTCCTATGGTTTTTAGAGGCCTCCTTGCTCCCCTCTGTGTTTACTGTTACCCTCAACCATCTGACATCCCCATCCACAACTTAGGTCAGAACTCAGAGAGCTTCCTTTAGTCTTAGATCTTGATATGTTAAAAAGGGAACATAGACACCTGAAAAATCCTCTCTCAAAATAATACTTGAGTTTGAATCTTGTACTACATGTCAGAAGCTAAGATGACATTTTCTCTTTTTTATTCTGAAATCAGTCCTAACTTACCGACCCCAACCTCATGATAATTTAAGTAGATAAGCCTTTAGGATAAAGGTCACACACTGAAAAATTCAAAGCAGAAAATGTGTGCATAGTTCCAAACTATTGTTTTGTTATGCGTTCCCTTACATTTCTTCAAAACCAGCCTTCTAGAGTCAGTGTTGTCATTGCAGTTTAGTCATACACTAAGGTGTGGAGAATATGTTCATGCTTGCTCAGCTACTGTATAAGGAAAAGGAGACACACCTTAGTCTCTGTCCTCACTCCCACTTCTCACTCCACAGCAGCTCCTGAAGATGCAGAAGCTAAACAAAGGTGAAGAACATGGTTCTGAGTTCTGGCCTCCAAGTCCCCAGTATTAGTTCTGACCACTTGACAACTTAATGAACTCTCAACTTTTGCACAGGATCATTGAGATTAAATGAGATAACTGTTATAACAGCTTTCTTTCATCAAGAAAGATATGTCTATGTGCCAGGCAGTTTCTAAAACACTTCAATTTAGCTCATTTAACTCTCAAAACAATCCTATAATGTAAGGACTAATTATTCCCATCTATGGACACTGTATAATAAAATCCTCAGCATACAATGTACCATATGGTATAATAAGTGTTCAATAATAATAATAATCTGTTTATTAGTGCTTTTTTGTTAGAATCCTACCCACCAAAAAACATTTCTACAGACATCTGTTTCCCCAAAGCAGAAACGATTCTTGGTAGACAGGCTTTGTTTGCTTACATTGTGGAGGTAAGGGACCTCCCATTCTCAAAGGACTGAGTGTCAGACTGAAGAACAAAGGTTGACATCCACCTACACTGTCATTCTGCTCAGCTCCTGTTGTTGGCCACTCCTGTGGGTGCGGGCATCAGGACACTCTGGCAGTGTCGTGGAGGAAAAGGAGGGAGTGAACGGATGTGCACCCAGATGGCCAAGACAAGCTGCTGGGATGATTCAGTACCTAGGCAAGACTTTTTTGTTTTCAATTTATTTTTCCATTTGAGTTATTTTTTCCTCCTAGTCCACCTGATGAGTTAAATTTGGACTTTTTTTCATTTTGAATTCTTGATATCACAACTATATTCCCCTATGTCCTGGGGAGAAGAGATACTGTACTATGTAAAGAATCTTGAACCAGAAACCAAAATGTATAATTTGAAGTTTCTACTGTATCACTAAATATGTGATATTAGTGATCATTTAACTTTAGGTGTCTATTTCATAATTCTATCAAGCTATAAAATGAGACTGTCAGATATTACAAAACTATCTTACAGCTAAAAATTGCCTTAATTATTTTCTGTTATCATCAATGCAAATGCTCAAAAATCTCTTCATCTTTAGCCAATGTAAGACTTGGGAATATTTCCATTGTCACCCACCTGGCAATCATTAATTAAAGAACTCTAACTTCAAGCTTTGAATAATGCCATAATTTTTAGAAATACTTACTCGTGAATCTCAATTCTTTGTTTGATTTGCTATTTAACAGAATTATAAATGGAAGGTATATAAGTTACTGGTAGAATAACTAATGGTCTTCTAGCCCTATCAGTATGTTAATCATTTAATATTATAAACAGTTAAGAAGCAGCAATCTCCATTCTCATCACTATATGTGAGTTGGCTTTTGAACTTAATCTGTTTGCTTCACATCAGCATCTACTGTTAGCAATTCATAAAATCACATAGTAAAAAAAACTATATTATTTTTGCCTTAAGGATCTCATATGTGTTCAAATTTTATATAATTACCATCTGTAAACAAACAAACATAAAATGCTTTGCACTTTTCTTAGTTTTGGGATTTCTAAGGTTCTGAGTCTTCATGCCACAAGGAAGAGAAACCCCATTCTCTCAAACCATTGACCTTATTGTGGCTAGAGATTTCCAGATATGTGGAGTTTGGGTATTGTCATCATATATTGCATATGACCATAGAAAATGTGCCCCTCTCCACTCCATACAAACACAAAGAAAGAAGAAAAAAACCCATGAAGTCAGAATGTTTGTTTGAACTTTAATTCATTCATTCATCCATCTATTTATTCATCTACTCAAATCATAGATATTTGTTCCTCCCATATACCAGAAACTGTGCAAGGTAGCTAGAATAGAAAGTCAAAATAAATTTGGTTGATGCCCCAATGAAGTGGAGGGGGCAATAGGGGAGGAATATAGGCAAAATGACTTATGATCTTCTTATAATACAAGTGTGTCTGAAAGATGCACAGCAGCTAGGGGAACACAAAGGAGGAAAGGCCTTTTTAAGTTAAAAAATCTTTTAAAGAATGTATTATTTAACAGGATTTGTACCTTACTTTACTACTTCTTTTTCTTATGAGTTCTTTAAGGAAGCTTAATTGTATTTGTGGTAATGCCCATTTATAATATTGTGTCACATAAACACAGAAACTTAAAAATATTTAATGAGCATTTGTTATATGAAAAGCTTTATATCAGTTAGTTTGCCAGCTTTATGAAAAAATGGACTTTCAGTACACAAGTACAATGAAAATTAAGAAAATGAAAATAAATGAAAATCACTTATTCCAAAAGAGAACACCTGAAAAAATATGTTTTTAGAAATTAAAGCTTAAAGAGGGGCAAAGCACATAAAATGAGTTTCTTAATCTCATGGAGCCAGATTTGCCTAATGAGCATACAGCTTATGACAAAATAATTGTCCAGTAATTAAAAGATGAAACAAAATAAAAATTAAAATGGAGCAAATTGCCTTTTGCACTGTGGCCAATGACAAGCAATGACACATTCATGCTGCAAAATACCACTTACTTTTTGACTGCTCAGTGGTTAAGGGCATAGGTTACACCATGTAAAATTTCCTGCAACCCTGCCCCACAAAGGAAGTACAAAGTTTATTATTGTTACTGCTATATGTGGTAATTTTATATTCAATATTAAAAAATATCTAAGTCTTAAGCCATATACATGTGTGTAGCAAATATTGCAGTTTACAATTACTGAGAGCTTGCTATGTGTCAGAAATTGTTCTAAGTAATTTACATGTATCAATTCATTT